AAAGGATATAGACAGAAAGAGGGAGTCGATTATTTCGACACCTATGCTCCAGTTGCTAGAATTAGTTTCATTCGAACTCTTATAGCAATTTCCGCCATAAAAGAACTGTATATTCACCAAATAGACGTGAAAACAGCTTTCCTGAATGGCTATTTAAACGAGGAGGTTTACATAGAGCAACCTGAAGGATTTGTAATACCCGAACAAGAGAATAAAGTGTGTAAACTTGTTAAGTCTCTATACGGGTTAAAACAAGCTCCTAAACAGTGGCATGAAAGGTTTGATACGACTATCACATCTTTCGGGTTCCGACATAATGGGGCCGACGAATGCATCTACTCAAAATGCACGAGTCGATACACTGTGGTAATTTGTCTTTATGTCAGTGATATGTTGATCATCGGAACCAATCTAGATGGTATTCTTGAGACAAAAGGGTATTTATCCTCGAACTTTAAGATGAAAGATCTTGGAAAAGTAGATACCATCCTTGGGACAAAGATCAAAAGGTCAGCATCTCAAATCTCTCTATGTCAATCTCACTACATAGAGAAGACACTGACAAAGTTTCAACATTTGAATATAAAGGAGTTTAACACTCTGTGTGATTCGAGTGTGAAACTCAATAAAAATACTGGTAGAGCAGTGGCTCAACTAGAATATGCTAGTGCAATAGGATGCATGATGTATGCAATGCATTGCACTAGATCGGATATTGCTTTTGCTGTGAGTAGACTGAGTCAATATACCAGCAATTCGGGTTCAGATCACTGGAAAGCAACTGGCAGAGTATTGGGCTACTTAAAAAGAACCCAAGAACTAGAGTTGACATACTCTACACATCCAGGAATCTTGGAGGGATATTTTGATACCAGTTGGATAGATCATTCAAGTGATTCTAAATCCACAAGTGGATGGATTTATACTCTTGCTGGAGGGGTGATTTCTTGGGCGAGCAAGAAACAAACGTGTATCGCCCATTCGACTATGGAAGCCAAATTCATTGCCCTAGCGGCAGCGGGCAAAGAGGTCAAATGGATTAGAGATTTGTTGACATATATCCATTTAAGGCCTCGACCGACTCCTTCTATTCCCATGTATTGTGACAGTGAGGCCACACTGTCAAAACTATACAATGCCATATACAATGGGAAGTCGCGACACATAGGTCTCCGACACAACTACATGAGACAACTTATTGATGATGGTACCATAAGTATTGTGTTTGTCAAGTCTTGTGGGAACTTGGCAGATCCACTAACCAAGCCTCTGACGAGAGACTTGGTAGGGTCAACAACCACAGACATGGGTCTGAAGCCACATAGAATCAGTTAGTGATGGAAACCCAACTTGAATATAGTGCTCCTATCTACCAAGTTTAAAGGGTAACAACAAGTCACTTGACTGATAGAAGGTAYTATCAAAYGAYAGATCCATGTAAGGTGAAAGATAGTACGGCGTTGTCGAGAACAAGGATGAGTTAATCTCTTAACAAAGTTTAGAGGCATCTTAACAACGAWRATKTTATAGAACTTTGCCTATATGACTTAGAGGTGGTGCTGCCTCAAAAGAAGAGTAGTGGTTTCTTTTTTAGTAAGTCATGAAACAGGGTTTAGCACATGGCCATATTAGCGCTCAGTGAGAGAGCAAGGTTTGATAGATGATGTGTGTAAGTAAGTCGGAGTGGTCGCAAGATTCAAGGTTTAAATCCTAAGGATACCATTGGATTGATCCCTTCTTGCATACTTACATTAAACAGGGTTTAATCTTAGTGACACCATAATAACATTGTCTACAATGAATGTCAGAAAACTTTCCAACCTGGTGGGAAATTGTTGGAAAATTTGTAGGTTGGAAGTTTGTCTTCCATCCCACATTGGTAGAAAAGGATTTTCTAGAGAAACTTATAAGGCTTTCTCTAAAAATGGGCTATAAACAAGTTGGTGGACTCATGGTGGGGGTCTTGAGTGGAAGGCCCAACACACACGCACGCATGGCCGAGGGTACGGGAGCGGGATTCGCGAAGGTGGCGCGAGAAGGCGCACTTTGCACGCCACATCAGAGCAGAAGGAGCCTCGCTCCGTGTATCTTTTTGATACAAAGTCGTGAGGAGAAGGAAAATTAACAGTTTTTATTTATAAAAAAAGGGGATTTTGACTTGGTCTTCCACATTGAGATAATGGTTAGTTGGGAATATTGTCCACCATGATCTCGATTTTTAGGGAGCATTTTGTGGGAAGTTGGAGGCTTCACCCAATATATAAACTGGGTTGAAGCCAACTCTCAATACCACTAGAAAAAAACAGCTTCCTTCTATCGATTACTGCTTCCAAACATTCTTTTCTCTCTACCATTTTCTGCATCCATCGTGCTCTATATTCGTTTTTGATCGATGTTCATAAATGAATCGTATACTGCATCAAATCCTGGGGATTTGCGACTAGCAGACTCACAACGTTAATAAAATGGTCGTATAAAACCTTAAAGGACAGGTTTTACTGTGCAGATTACAATACAAATCGACAGTTTAATCAGATTGGTTTTATATTTTCAGCATTGTATTTAGTTTTCTGTTCACTAAGTGAACAACTCTGCTTCTACTCCTTTCTTTCATTGAATCTATCGTGAAGGATAGATTCAATCTATGTGAATTGACACTATGTTGAGGTGTTGTGGGTTCTGAAATTTAAAAGGGTTTAATTTTGTCCGTTAAAGATTTAAAGTTTTTTATAAAGACTAAAACTTTATTTTGTTTTCATCTATCTTACTCGAATACTTTTCAATAGGCGCCCCATGCCGTAACCGAGAAAGGATTCGAGTGACTTAGGGCCAGGTGACCTAAGACGCCCCACAAGTCGCGTGGGTTTCTGTGTGAAGTTGAGGGGAGTTCATTATTTTCACTTCTCTTTTCTTCTAGGCATCATCTCACCTCATTTACTCCCATCCACTTCTCTCTCACTACATTGAATTTGTTTGTTTTGGTCCATCATTTAAAGTTGAAATTGTGATTCCTTCAAGTATTTAAAAAGATCTTGGGTGTAGGTTCAAGTATAGGTCAAGCCTCAAAGATTTCCTCTCATTTCTAGGGTTCGGTGGGTTTCTATGTTTTCATCAAAACCTAGCGCTGTGAGTCATTCTACTTCTTCTAAAACTTTATATACGCCAAAATATTATGTTTTAGTTGTTCAAACCTCCATTCCTTAATACTTCACGATATTGGGTATTTTAGGCCATTTAGATCAAATTTGGGAAATTTGAGAACTTGGTATCCTTTTTGTACTGAATCTGGGGTTTTATGATGAGTTATGAGGATGCTTGATTATAAACATAAAACGTATTGGAAAACTAAAATCAAGGATTTTAGTGTACTTGTGATTATTGATTAAATTGAAAATCTTGCCTTTGCTAACTCAATTGCATAAATGTTTGTGCTATGGAATGTGGTTGAGCATATCCAAACGATATTACATTTGCATCTATACGCATGAGAGTCAAGTTGTTAGTCTTATAAAGGGATGACCTTCCCTTATTGTAACTTGAAATAGGTATTGGGTCATCGGTTCATTGTGTTGCGGACTCTTGGAGTTGTACATTGGCCATTGACCATACGGTGTAATTTCTAGTGAACGAGCATATATCAGGGGTCTTACGCCATGAACCATGTTAAGGTTGAATTGGATGACCATTGATCCGTAGTGGGGCTTAATAACATAGATATGTGGCTTACTCTTGTGTTTTGTCACCATCCATGGTAAATCGAGTCTCCCTCGTCATCGCAAGATGTGCTTAATTTTATAATCTTTAAAATAGAATATTGGGATTGTTGATTTCCATTAAGTATATATTTTCGAGTTCTGACTTTATGATTATTTACTTCAAAATATTTCTTAAAATGGTATGTATATCATGTCTTAGGCAGCAGGGCTAAGGATGTTTGAGCAGGGATCGGAGTGCCATTAGGGGTACTCATGGGGTAGCATTTTTTAGCGTATTGATGATCCAAACATAGTAGTCTTTTGATGGTTGTAGTAACACCTGAATGTAAGCTGATTCTAGATTGATTTAGATTAGAAGGTTGTTACCTATTAGCCTATTCTTCTTTATGTTAAAATTAGATGGCATTATTTCCCTTTTGGGAAGATACTCCTATTAATTATGATTAAATGACAGGTTTTTATAAGTTCAAACTTTCTCCCATTTTAGGGGTGTTACATTGGAGGAGGCACCATACAGGTTATTGCAGTGACAATGGTAGTGGAGGTAGAGGCAGTGGTGGTTGGTGGACAACGGTGATTGTGGAGGACATGAAGATATGGTGAATAGTAGTGATTTTGACGGCCGATAGTGGTGGAAGAGGTAGCTGCAGTCGATGTGGTGGAGGTAGTGGTGGTTATGGTGGAGGTGGCTGACGGTGGTAGTGGTGGTGGCGATGGACGGTGGTGGAGGTATTAAAGGAGGTTATTGTAGTGGAAGAGGAGGTGGTCGGCGGTGGCCGCCGGTCATGGTGGCGGTAGCATAACTAGCGGTAAAATTACCATTAAAACAAATACCATATTAGGATTATATATTAAACAAGGGTAAATTATTAATTTTTTAGTTTATGTCTCATCCTTGTCCCATATTGTTCCACCTATTTTGGTGGACCAAGAAAAAGCTTTTTCTTGTTCCATGTTCCCACCCTGTCCGGTCCTTGTCCCTGTCCTATGTCGCGTCAAAGGTGGAACAGTGAGTTTTTGTCCTGTCCCATATCGTGCCAAACGTGGAATAGTGAGTTTTGTCCCTTCATGTCCTGTCCCATGTATCAAACACAGCCCAAAGGGGTATTTTAGGTATTTGATCATCAGTCAAAGACTTCTATCAAGTTATGTGTCAAGTCAAACATTGTATTTGTTTTAGGAGGGAGGGAGTAAAACATAAAAAAATGTTTCATTCCCAGCATCTCCTCCCCTGGCATCCTAGTAAAAACCAACAAAATAAACAAAGAGGAATTTTTGTACTACCTGAAGGAAGTATACAATTCCATTTATAATAAAGTATGTTGGTCTGAGTTTATCAGTTGGAAGACTTCTTGCCTGAAATTTAGAAAATAGAATTACATGACCACAACAAGAAGGGATTTTTGCTTACATCATGCTAATTTTATAATATCAACTATAACAATAGATATAAACCTATAATTGGTAAAACATAAGAACAATACATATAAACCTGTCATAGGTAAAACATAAGAAAAAATGCATAGCATGTAAAAGTTAATACCTGATGATATATCTCAGCCCAAAATAACACAAGCAACGTGTATGTTGAGAAAAACAAAAGACCAGGAAGATCCAAAAGTATCATGTCTAAAACCTGTAGGTATCATGAGCAGTAATGTTAAGCTAAGTGCCACTATGTGACCCAAGAGATCATTTAGCATCAAAACTATCTCCAAAATCCAAATTAAATTGATATTTAACAACAAAAAAAAAAGCCATAGCTTATTTTAGCATTGCAAGAAAATAAAATATTGTATTGGTAGGTACTTTCCAGCAACTGTATAGAAGTTGCAAAATGAGCACCATGCCATGTAAAGTAGATGAAGATGCAGAATACGAACATGAACTTACTTTTGGTTTTTTGTGGAAAACCCTCCAATAAAATCCAAATTGAACAGCCCTTACTATGAAAAGCATAAGAATATACAAACATCAGATAAACCGGTAAATCATACATCATTCAGAAATGTAGAAAATGAGTAGCAACCTTACATCCATTGACCACAAAATTCATCAAGTGGAAAACCTTTTGTGTTGTCCACCCATATTCTGGTACTCTCATTTGAATACGAACAAGTTGCACCTGTATATTCGTTGATAATCATCCACTTTTGATGCATTAACTTGTTTATTTGTCCATTTTCGTTTGTTAATTCATGTTCGCATGTGTGTAATTTGTGACCACATGGAAGTGAATAAGGATAAGCATTAAAAATCACCGATAAAGTCTCTATACTTCTGTTCAATTTGGTTACCACAATATTCTCTACAGCAATATTCAAGAGATGCTATGTACTAATACCATCAAATAATGAATCATTGAAGTCATACAGGCCAAGTGTGAAAACACAGAAAGAAATTAAAAATTATAATCCTTTCTTTGCTATTCATAATAACTTGCCATATTATGTACGACTGAAGAACCGCTGTTATTTTTCCAAAAATAAAGATTTGACCTTTGGCATAACTTTTCATCTAGTCATTCTGTTGAGAAACATCTCTAATCTAGACTTTCAAATGGACCAGTAAAAATTGAGACCTCCACCATAGGTATTTATAAGAGGTAGAGGTTGACCTCCACCAGAGGAATTGATCTTAGTCTTAGATAAGTGTGTGTGGAAGGACGTCATTCAAGTTCACCTTCTTCTGTTTTCGTCCCTAATTTATTTTTCCTTGTTAGCCAACTCCAACTAGTTTGAGATAATATGCTCTCGGTACTAATGGTTGTGGTCTAATGGAATCATGCTAAAACTACATCAAGTTACAAGTTAAGCATCACCGAATTGCACCATGAGTGCTCAGGTTTCGGGTTGGCGTGAATTTCTTCAAATAGCCTCTTTGATTAAAAATGATCAATTTGACCAGCTTAACTTATACATAGTTACAAACTAGGAGCTGCATCTCACTGGACTTGGGTTCTAACATTAACTTAACAATCAACTGTGGGATATACAACCACCTCCATGATCAAACCAAAACCTCTGTAATCTAATCCAGCAAAAACCTAACTTATCATTCTCTGTAAAATGAAAGAAAGAATTAATGTACTTTTTATATTTATATTTTTCCCACTTGCTAATGTAATAAAATAGTTAGCTAACCTATGTCATATACCAAACTACATGACAACCCATGAAATGTTGAAACAAAAACCCATAACAATTTAACCCTATCAATGACCTATAACCCTTTCTCAGATTCAATAAGTTAAGACTATGACTAAAGATCAACCCAACCAGTCGCAAATTTCAACATATGTCACCTCCAATCTAAAATTAGAAATGACTTTTGGCTTGCTAATAGACCCACCCCACGCAGGAGCTATTATCCACATTCCATAAATCATAACAATACTGCCTCCAACATGAAGAATTTATAAATAAAAAATCAATTCAACTTGTAAGATCAAAATAATTCACTTCATGAATCATATTTCTATTTTGAAATTAGAGATAGGAAAGCCCATTCCTACGGTTTTTCTCATCATACTACGAATTAAGCGACATTGCCAATTCTTTTTTGAATCTAAATTTATATATCTTCATATTACATTACAAAAACCAACTCTGACGATAAAAGTCAAAACAAACCTCTAATCTCAAGACGGAGTAAAAACCACTTCATGAAATTCTCAATTCAAATCTAACAATCAAAAAAACATACCAGAGCAATCAGACAAACGAGGCCATATGCAGCACAGAGAGCGTAAAATGTGTCTTCCTGCCATTCTTGAGATTCGTTAATCCTATCCCACCATCCATTCAACAAGCTTACGCCTCCAGTGAAGCTTTGTGCATCTGCTATATATTTGAACCATATGAAACCTTTGGTACTCAAAGATGACGACAACGCCATTAACGATTCCGATTGAATCTCGATCAAGGAAGGAGAAAGAGAACGAAGAAGAAATTGAGCGTAACTCCTCAGCGATGATAAACTCGGAAGTGACACGTACAAGATTGATGTCTGAAGTGACACATGTCATTTAAATTACACCAATGGAAGCGTTAGCTTTTACAATAGAGTAAATTACAAATTTAGTCCCTGTGGTTATTGAAAATTTAGGTTCAGATCACATAAATGCAATAATTACATGTATGGTTCTTATGATTTTACCCTTGTTATGGATTAGGTCCCTTACACTAACTTCACTAACTGATGCTCCATTAAGTAAGGGGTAATATCGTCTTTTAGCAAAAAGAATTAAATTATACTTATTATATTTAATAATATAGATATATGATATTAATAAAACATAAATCGCCCCTTATCTATCAGACCTCCTCTACCCCAGTGTCGGCTTCCTCCTTTTTGGCTATACACGCAAACCATCGGCGACATCTCCTTCTCCGCCTAACTCGCCATCTCCAGACACCCATACCCTGTGAGGGTGAGACCCTCCGCCCCCCTCTCGTTGAGGGAACCTCGTTCCTTACCCAGGCTCCCCTCAGCTACAATTCCTACTCTCAGGCTTACCTTCGAGATTAAATACACGTTCTCGCCTTTCTGGTTTGAGCTTTTGTTCTTGATGGTTTGATTTAATTTCTTGTTGGCTGAGTTTGATTTTGATTAATGGTTTTTGAGTTTAATTTTGAGTTATGTCGTTCTAGACTTCTACCTGTGGTTTCGTCAGTTTTTTTGTACAAAATTGTGTATTGATTTTGAGAACAACCTTTGTGTTTTTACGGACCTTGCTAAAAAACAGTAACTTGGATATGATGATAATGTCAAGACTAAATACACAAGGGTTTGTCCTTAAGAACTACAATATTTTTACATTATTGCAGAGATTAAAGGCGCAGAGGAGCCGACCTTCAAAAAGCTAGAAGTGGTTAACATGATTTAACCTTAAACCTGAATCATATTAGTTTGTGGTTCGTCTACTGTAATACAACAATGAATGGATGGCTCATTGCATAGAGCATGGAACCAAGGAACGCATTATTTGATAGGAATGGTTTAAAATTGACAGACTTAGGAGTTGTTTACCCGAACATTCATCAGGTAAGCATTTACCAGTAGAATTCAACACTTTCGTTTGCCTTACCAGATAAAATTCTAATTCATCAAAACAACATCATATGCATCACGTAAGCTCTAACTATGTAAGAACCATCATGATCACTTATCAAGTAATATTCTCGGTCCTTGCAATCGCTCTTACCAAGTAAAATTCTTGGTACTTTTTATACTCGTCCATAAGGTAAGTGACTAAGTGACTGGGTAAGCATTTGGTAAACGAACCCTTAGTTCTAATAAAAATACCCCTTAAAACTAGTAGCTCATGTAAATAATGAATGATATAAATCTACAACATATGAACTATAGCAAACCGATTGAGAATATATATATATATATATATATATATATATATATAGGGGCTGGTTCAAATACTAACCCAATATTTTGTGCAAACTATGCTAACCCATCTTAATCGTTCATTTTCTCATCTAACGGTTATTATTAAATGAGATTAAATAAACAATAATTTAATTAATATATTAATTAATATGTGTATGAACAATTGTTCAAAGGATAAATTGGTCAAAAATTTGTATTAATTAATATGTGTATGAACAATCGTTCATCTTCGTGCCTATATCAAGGTATGAACATTCATGTGAACCCTATGGTGTGAACCCTAGATATATGAACATTAGCTACACCGTGTGAACCCTAGATATATGAACATTAGCTACACCGTGTGAACCCTAGATATATGAACATTAGCTACACCGTGTGAACCCTAGATATATGAACATTAGCTACACCRTGTGAACCTAATGAACACTATAATCGATATATGTTGGTCATATGATCATGTTCTTCAACCTTGATGCATGCTCGTAGCGATACACATGCACGACGATGAGACATGCACATTAACAAAAACATGGGTTGTGCAGATAAAACTGATACCTGTACTTTATATTTGTTCGTGCATGATGTTCGCTGTAGGTGGTTTCATATGTGAATTAGTTGTCAATAAGATGAACATATTTGAATCTTCATGTCATTATTAGATGAAGATCAATTTGAGATATTGTAGGATTTGTAACTCCTAATTAAAATATTTGGGAGTTACATAAGAATGACTAATGACCTAAATACCCTTATCATTAATATGTAAGTTACATTTTAACCAAACCCAAAGATGCAACATTATTGGTTGATGTGGGTTAGCAAAGTTTGCACAAAATATTGGGTTAGTATTTGAACCACCCTCTCTCTCTCTCTCTCTCTCTCTATATATATATATATATATTATTTTTAAAGGAAAATCATGAAATGACCAATATACCTCTGACTTAATGAAACTAAGATTAACAAAGTTAGAATAAAGGACAATCTGCAACAAACATGAAACCGCAATGACTATACATGTAAATTTTTCGTTTGGGGGACTCATCCATATTTATCATATAACTACAGGGACTAAATTTGTAATTTACTCTTTACAATACAAGACCAATTATCTCTTACCATCATTAATATTATACAAACATTTTTGGTCCTTATTGAATACCTATTTTTTGGTTTTTCATCCCTCCAATTTGTAAAGTACATTTTTAGCCCATTTTTCATGTTTTGAAGCCCAAATAAGTCCCTCTCATTAACTCCATTTGTTTAGGCTCCCTTAACCTCATCATGTGCCTGTCAAATATGTCATTTTACCTTATTTTCTTAAAAAAAATTAATTAAAAAAATCATATATTATATATTACATATAAATTTTTAAAAAAAATCATTGAATCCATTAGGATTCGGAAAAAGGAGCAACCATATCCATCATGGTGTGCGTCATCTTTAACAATATTCAATTTGCAGATCTTTCAATCTTTTCTCGCCCTCTCTTATGGAATCAAAGATCTCTTACCTTCCTCCCCGTCTCATTTCTAGCGACCCCCAATATCTGAACAACCCTCCCCTTCGGTGAACACCTTCAGGATCTGAAGCAGCTGTGATGTTTATACCTAAAGCAACCATGGTCTGAACTTGGTTTCCACCTGAAGCAATAGTGATGTTTGCAGCCACGGCGGTTTGTTCTTCTTTATTGTGATTACCGACAGATCTGAGCCTCAATGCTTTCTCCCTCTGAAAAAGTGAAGATTACCAACAAATTTGAGCCTCAATTCTTTGTTCTGATTACCAACAAATTTGCAGCCATGAGGTTTTTGTTTCTCATCAATTTCAAACCATTTATAGGATACAATCATTGATTTCAATGGATTTGTATAAGCTTGTATATGGTTTTCATTTTTTGATTTTAGGGATATGATGTAGGGTTTTGATTTTTTTAATTTTAGAGATAAGTTTTTTTATGTATTACAAATGTCATGAATGGATCTGATATTTTGTATGAATCTGATATGTTTTGGGTTCGAATCTAATATATGTTTGAATGTTTTTTTAGGTTTGAATCTTATTTAGATTTTGGGTTTGAATCTGTTGTAGGGATTTGTATTTATATTCAAACTTAGGTGATTCATTGATTTTATGTTTATTGATATGCATCTCTATCGATTTAAATCTGGGTTTAGTATTCAATGAATGGATTTAGAGTTCTTGATTTGTGGAAGAAATAGATGAGGAGGAAGAAGATAAGTGAAAAGAGCAAATTCCCCCTCACGTGAGGGGCACAGATGGACTTAATGGACCCCAACTAACGGTGTTAAGTTGGAGGGACAAGTTTGGCCTCCAAAACACGATTTTTGGACAAACAATGTATGTTGGGTCATCGATAGATTTGTTGATGACTCTCTGATTAGTTCTATAATACTTATCATTTGTACTTTGATAAATTTTGGTTTCTTTTACATATAAAAGGTTTGGTATACACTTAATCAGTTCAGCAAATTAAAGACTAACCGACACCTCAAGAATTGGATCGACCGATGTTGATCAAGATCCACTATCTAATTTAAGAACCAAGCCTTCCCTTCCACTAGTCAATATTCTTTGTTCGGATAGTCATCCTGACTATCGGCCTGTCAACTTAAAGATACTCATGTAGGAACTTTTCTAACCAAACCTCACCAGCATTTTAGTCGACAAAGACATTCTTTGAAGCACCTGAAAAGACATGTTTGTCATGATATGCTCTTGATGTGACCTTTCAGAAATGATAGATAATTCTTCTAATGACAAGTCCCTTTTAGTTATATGATGAAAAGGACTCTCTAAACTTTTGAAATCAATGATGGACATCTTATCCCCAAGTGACAACTGTCCCTATGCATTTAATTCGGATGGTGGTATTCAAGGCAGATTTATCTCCCCATGCAAGGTTACGCTTTCAACAATTCTCTACGTAATAAAGCAATCGGTTACTATCTTAAAAGACATAAAATTTCTACTTGTTGTAAACTAAGTGAAAGATTGTTAAGTTAGGGTTCTTAAAAAGAAATAGTTCGAGAAGGTTCAATTGTCTGAAATGAATTTCTGGGCTCGCAGATTTATTGACATCAAGTTTATAAAAAAGAACCAAAAATACCATTGCAAGAGCTTTCCCTATGCCATTTGTTAACTCTTTCTGTATCCTAGATAGGGGAAAGACATGTATGGTGGATATGGAACATGGTCCTAAGAGTAGTACCAAGTCCTTTTCCACCATGCTATTCAAAAAGGGATACAACAAGAATGAGCCTTGTTATTTGGCAGTTAAAAAGCATTAGGATAATGGTGGGTCAAGCAAGAAGAAGTTACCAAAAGAGATCGAGAAGGTTCTTGATGATTTCAAGGACATGATGCCTAAGGAGTAACTAAAAAATCTTTTACCTAGGAGGGAGGTGGACCATGCTATAGAATTAGAGTCGAAATCGAAGCCACCCACCCTCTAAAGCCCCTTACAAAAT